TAACGTCAGGTGAATTCTGCCATTTCGGAAATTTCGAGATAGATCCAGAAAACCCTCAGTACTACTGGAAACAAATAAAATCGCCAGACAACATATACGTTTTTCTGGAACTAGAGGATCTGGAGAATCCATTGGTCGTGAAAAACAGAGCACACATGTTTTTCCTGACCTAAAGATCTTTTGTTTTCAACAGCGTTCAAGTCTGTTTGTTGCAAAGTCAAAACTAACAATAAGCATTCGGGTAATATGAATATGAAAGCTCTGTTTTTCTTGTCATAATGCATTGGTTTTGTGTACAGAAATCAACTGCACACAGTTTAGCGGTGCACACAATCAGTATATTTTCATTGCTATGGAATACATGGGATGCATGAAATTACGCTATCTGATGACATGACCAATACCATTCAGTTGCGACAATGAAACTGATTAGTGCTTGACCGATAGTGCCGAAATGACCATTCCAAATGTTCGTTGATTCCTTTTAGATGGGCTTGTTTTTCATGTTAAATTAGGTTGCTATCNGTGCCGAAATGACCATTCCAAATGTTCGTTGATTCCTTTTAGATGGGCTTGTTTTTCATGTTAAATTAGGTTGCTATCGAACGTTTGAATAATTTTCGAAAAGTATTTTCTTTGTCGTTCCTGAGAAGGCCGTTCGGCTCCAAATGAAACCAGGTGTGTTTGCGTATTGAATTTATACAGTCAGTCCGCAAAAAGTGCCCTAAAAACTTCTGTCAAGGACTTGACTCAAATAAATTGGTCTTCGTGGGATGAAAGGTTAATGGTGAAAACATCATTTACCAAAGATATCATTAAATTTACTACGGATTCATCGTTGACTATTACTCAATTTCTAAAATTCTCGCTCGATTAATTTCAAACATTTCAGAAAATTGCTCACATAAATATCATTTTGTTTTGATAGTGAATTTACTCTTTGTATATGATCTCCAATAGTACCATTTTTTGATAAAGGCTCTGGGAAGTGGAACGTTAATTATCATTTTAATATTAGAGAAGTATTCACCGGCAGATTACAGTCAACAATTTCAGAGCAATTCAAAAGCATCCACGAATGTTGCAGTTGAATTGCTTGAAAAGACTATATTTTTGAAGAGTGTCTTCCTTCCCGTTTAATGGATTCTCGACTGGACAGTTTGATTGACGAATTCATGAATATTTTAGTGTGAAACTATGATGAAAATGTCAGTGCCTTGAAAAATGTGAATATATATGCAAGGTGATCATAACGTATCATGCTGCATGTTTTTCGTTACAGTTCTTTCCAGGGAACGACATTTTTTGTTAAATTTAGCACACAGCACTTGCAGTGTACCATTACAATGATATTTTTGCTATGCCTGCGTTCTTTTACGAATTATTCCATAAATGTTTACTATGATTAAGTGCATCCTGATCTGAGTATATTTGGTTATCGGTCTTTCGTTCTCAGTCAAACACCANTCAGTTCGTATTCTGAGACGAATGTTGTGAATGTTTTTTGGATTGTCTTCAAACTTTCATTTCAGTTTGTAAATAGTCTGGTATTGTTTTACAAGTTTAACGTGATGCCATCGACACTTCATCCCAAATTTATTATCGTTACGGTATCACCCATATTGCTGCTGATTATTTCGAATATAAACCTGATCTGTACAAATCCGATTCGTCATCGATTCAGCATCGCACGTCGGAAACTTCTGCAGAAGGTTGAACTCAAGTATGGTTAGTGTTTTGCGAGGTTACGTGAATCACCAATTTCACCAGCATTTACTATTGTAGTCTCAAACGTTTCTAAAGTTACTGCATGACGCATCTGACTGGCTACGGTTCTGTTCTGAAGCTGTGATCATGTTATCCCTACTCCTTTTCTTCTCCACTCTTCCTTTCCCGAGACTGTTTCCCGAACGGTTCGCTTTCAATTGTAACATCTTACCAGCAGAAGCTTTCATGAAGAAGTCTTGCACATCACTATTATACGAGTGAATCTGATAGTTTATATCTACTGATCAAGAGAATATTAGAATGGACAAGATAAATGTGTGAGCAAATCAAGTGAATAATATGAACTAATGACTATTGAATTGCCTTGCATGATATTGCTGCGATTTTTTGTTGTAAGTTTTCGTTTTGAGTTGGCTTGAAGTTTGAGGTGGACAATAAGCTGAGTGAAGTGAGCGCTTTTTAGTGAATGTTCACGAGACTTTCACCATTCTGGTCGGTGTTATGCAATGCAAACGAATGTACCCTTACGTTTCGATGCAATGATTCAGCCAATTTCTGACATCTGACGAATGCAATTTTTTTTGACCGATCTGATCATAAATTAATTGATTCAGTGAATCTTTCTACGGAAAATTCCTTTCATTCCTAAACGTTTTGGAATCATTTCCATTCTAAAAAATAAGGAAAAAGCGTCTGTTCGGTTGAATCATCGCTCGTAAAAGTCGTAAAATGTTCCTTATTTCAATGCAGAACACATTTCATTTTGACGTTCCACATAAAAATTCTTCCTATGCGTTTTTTCCACATCACTCATATATTCAATGAACTTTTATTGTTGTTTCCAAATAATTGCTCATGCAAATAAATGCCAGACTGTGCTGCTGCATCATCATTTCACGACACTTCAGCAATTTTTCAAAGTTTTCGCATTTTTCTTCTTGTGATCGTTCATTCATTCGCTCAAAGGCCAAAGCAAAACTTCAACCTCAAAATAACCTTCCGTGATCTAAACGGAATTTTGACCTGACCACAAATGCGATTTTGACTTGAACATAACCGCGAGCATTTCAGTTCTGCAAAAATGTCGAGTGCCCATTGAATGTCATCTGAAGCTGTTCAGCGAACTCATGCAAAAAGAATCATTGTCCGACTGTGACGGCATTGAATATGGACATCTATTAACGTGCATTGAATCAAGTTGGTTCTCTTATTATCTCGTAAACGTTGAATTGCATCTGTTTAGTAAATCATGCACAGCATCTCTCATACGTAGTAGACAAGAGGTCAGTTGACGCTTTAAAGCCTTTCTTTGACAAATTTCGATGCTTGACGTGGCTTAGGAATTTTGCGTCCGGTCGCCAAACGGGTAGTCGCTTAACTTGTGTGATACAGGTTGCACGTTGAAATGCTTACCGGAGGTTTCACCTAGATTTTCAGATTTAGATGAGGTGATGAATAAGCCAATGCTGAAGATATCAGCCACTGGTGACATTTGCTGTTCACCAGCCGAGTCGAATACGTCGAGGTGGTGCAGGTCAGCATGTGCGTCATCCATGTACGCACCGACGTTGAGCACTCGTGAACGATTAAAAAGGATCGAATACTTTTGCAATAGCGGAAATGCAGCTGATCAGGTGGGTAGTGTTCTGTTTCATTCGGGGTGATAAGTGAATGCTAGTTTTGAAGTTAATGGTCAGGTTAATCTGCTGAGGACATAGTTTAGTTGATGTCTGTCTCGACAATCCTTCAATCAGGAACCTGCATAATGTTTTCGAGTTCCAGCAGATGAAAAAATTACCTTCTTGCTCAAAAGATAATGAATTCCATAAACTGATATAACATTCATCTTATTCACTAACTTTTTCATCTCAGACAGTATATCACTGTTGATTGCGTACAAGTGTACATTTACAAGTTTGAAACGAGTCTTCATTAAAACAAAATAAATATTGTTTGAAAACATTCTTCCACTATTTCAGATGAAAGAAACTATCGTTTCATTTCAGGAGTTATTAAGATGTGTTAATGACGTTATCGAATCCACTCATACCAATTCTGATCATTATTATGACATGTAAGGTATAATGTGAAGTCATATCAGAAAGATCTTCTTCAACCAAATGAATACTGTCCAAATGTGAAGTCAGTCAAGCAACTTTGCAGTCATCAATATCAATTCCAAAGATGCCCTTCNAAAAAAAAAACAGATGGGAGAGAGTTCGAAATTATCAAACGAATAAGAATGTTAAAGATTGGCTTTTTAGAAAAATGAATAATAAGCGAACAGAGACATAACTCAACGAATAAACAAATGTCGCGACACTATATTTCAACCGGAGCAACAACAGTAACAATAACAACAAAATATACACATCGAGAACAGAATCGAATAAATGAATCACTATGGGAAGATTAAACAGCCAACGCTGCAACGATAAAACGTTACTACGAACACTAATCAACAATTCTGTCGGAAAAATTCATTGTTTTCTTAACGAATACCTCAAATGAAAGACTAATTGATCGACAAGCAGAATGAAAACAATTGACACAAGACTCGTTTCACAGAATCAATAAAAATAACTGATATGACACAACAGCTCTGCCAACTGCAGAGACCTTTTTTTGGCCAGATTTATGATGTTTCTGCCATTAGAACATTGACAGAGTATATTCCAGAAGGGTATATCCAATATTACTCAACATTGATAGTGAGTTCTACAAAACTTAAGAGTGCTCGTTTATAAGGAAATGAATGCCGAAGAGCATTACACATGCGACTTTCTCAAATGCTACATAACTAAGTCAATCAGCGAGAGTGCAAACAAGATGAATGAAGAATTAATATGAACAAGCATTACTGTCGAGTGCTGACGACAAATCAGTGAAAAGAAGGAGATAAGGTAAGTGAATATTCACATTGGATTACACCGTGTGTTTCGATAGAGAAGCATTTGAAATACGATCGGGTTAATCAGACGAGACTCATCTGTTAATTCGGAAGTTCTGACAAAAACANACAATAAGTTAAATGCAAATCAACATTTGCAAGACACGTAAATAAAGACATAAACAAACAAAATTGACACACAACACAATGCAATACAAATGATATCATCAATAAAAAATCAAATGTTTAGAATTATTCGAAATTTAATTTAACCGTCATACTTGGGTGGAGGAACTAAACGCTGATAACTGATATAAATAAAACGATATAAGTTATTACTCGACGGTCCCACTGGATCAGCAGGAAGAACCGGCAAAAACGAAAGATTGAATTGAGGAGTGCACTGCTCCATTCCATCGAGAAATCGAAAAGTATGAACAATTTTTGTGAACGAATCTTCTCGCCTAATGAATGCAATGAAAGTTGAATGGATTATGAACAATCACTCCACCAATTTCGATGGGATTTGAATT